GATTTTGAGCAAAGTTTTTACCATTAAATTATGCAAAAGGTGTCAGATGCAAAACATTTCAGAAACCATATGAATCAAATATGATTTGGCATTACAGGGGTTAAAGGTGAAACAGTCTCTATTTCTCTATTTGTTTTCTCACCGAACTGGTTTAAATATGAAACAGTGCTTCTGTTCTTGCAAATAACTTCAAAAAGTAAGTAGCCGTAAAATTGTCTTCAGAAATGAATTCATGCTCTGAGCTTTTGTCGGAGGAAAGAACAAAGGACATATTTCAAAGCCATTCAGAGCTTCTCAATTTGCACAAAGGAATAAGACACATCTTATTCTTTAAATGGGTAGAGAAAAGGAGCTCAATGGAAATTGTATGTATATATATATATATATATATATATATATATATATGTTGTTTTTGTATATCTGGAGTGTGTAACAAAAATAATTTCCCTGTAGGATCCTTAAAGTATGTCTGATTCTGATGAATATAATATAATATCATCTCAAATCTCGAATCTGAAATCCGGTAACTTGCCGCAGTGACAGTTTACTGACAGCAGTTTCTCTACATGCAAACTTCAGATCTGAAAGGCGACTTTATTCAAAATGGAGAGGCGGATTCCACTGAGATAAGAAGGACTGTCTCAGATTACAATTGAAAACCTTTCTAAGTGGCCCAAAAAAAAAAAAGAAAGTAAAAAACACAACAAATCTAAAGTGACTGGATGGAATCAGATCCCAACAACAGAAAAGTTCCTGACACTGCGCCATCGGATCTAAGAGCCACATCTGATGTTCTCGCCACTCTCTCTGCATCTGGTTGTTTTGTTTTTGTGTAATTAGTTTTGTTTTTGTGCTCACCCGGCGCGCGCAGAGACTCTGGCTGTCCAGAGAGTGGATGAGGGACCGAACGCTGGCCGAGTGGGGGTTCTCCAGCGCTGGCAGCTTAGTCTGTTCAAACACAGGGACGATAAATAAATAAAGAACATAAGGCGATAAACATAGGAACTGAGATGCATTATTACGTTTTTATTACGTTAATACGCCGCCTCAGAAAAGGACTGCTCAGATTTGACATTTCACCTAATTTTATCACTTACTTTTACTCACTTACTACTCATTTCATTTAATAGATTTTTCAAAAACATGTCACTTGTGTAAAAAATGTTCTGTGAAAGGGGAGTTTTCATTATTACTGACTGCACAGTTACAGGAAAGCCCCCTTTTCACACATTAAAATGATTCAATTCATCCATCCATTATGGTAACTTCTTATTCCCTAATGGAGTCGGGGGGGCGGAGCCTATCCCAGTAGCCAATGGGGAGAGGCGGGGTCACCCTGGACGGTCCCCAGTCCATCACAGGGACACACAGAGACACACAAGGACCAACAACCACACACACTCACACTAAGGGCAGTTTGGAGTCCAGCCAACCTAACATGCAGGTTTTTGGAGGGTGGGAGGAAGCCGGAGAACCCGGAGAGAACCCACAGACACAGGAGAACATGCAGAACCACCCAGAAAGGTCCTGGTTCCCCCGGGGACTCCAACCCAGAACCCTCTGGTCCTGGTTCCCCCGGGGACTCCAACCCAGAACCCTCTGGTCCTGGTTCCCCCGGGACTCCAACCCAGAACCCTCTGGTCCTGGTTCCCCCGGGGACTCCAACCCAGAGCCCTCACCGTGCCACCCTGATTGAATTAATCCGATTATTTATTTCCTTTACACATTGGCGGCATTCGGGATAAATAAAACGTGAGTGTAACAGCCTGTGAGTGCACCCACCTCTCCGGAGGGAAGAGAGGAGAAGCAGCTGGCGTTGAAAAGCTCCACCAGGGTGCATGCTGGGACCTGGGAGCCCACCCAGAGGAGCAGGGCGAGGGGGGCGTGCACCAGATAGAGTCCCCGGGGCTCCAGGCTGGAGGCGGAGCAGCGGAGCTCCTCCCCCGAGGGGGGGGGCGCCTACAGGGGACAGAAGGAGAGAGTTAAGGTGAGCATCGGAGTTTAAACCAAGACAATTACTATCTTAACAAAACACACAAAAACAGAGACCATTCTTTGTCTCTTCTTCTACAGTTTCTTATTGACATACAGCGGGGGAAATAAGTATTTGACCCCTTGCTGATTTTGCAGGTTTGCCCACTTACAAAGAATGCTTCTTTTTCCTCATCAGATGGTTATCAATTTTTATAAATTCATATGATGTGATTTTCTGGAAATTTCTTTGGGATTCTGTCTTTCACTGTTAGAATGTACATATGATTAAAGTTATAGATCGTTGCATTCTTTGTAAGATGGCAAACCTGCAAAATCAGCAAGGGGTCAAATACTTGTTTCCCCCACTATAAATTAAAAATGACCGAAAATTAAAGCAAATTCTAAAATGTCCCATCAAATGTCACAAAAAAAAGCATCCTCTTTTATTTGTACATTAGGGTTGTCACGATACTAAAATTTTCAACTTGATACCGATACTCAGGAAAATACTCGATACCATTTTTGATACCACAAGGATTAAAACAAAGACCCCAAAATTTAACTGAATTTTGACAGGTTAGTGTCTTTGGTTTCAAACTGAAACATTAATGACCCTAACCCTAACCCTTACCCTAACCATAAACCTAACCCTAACCCTTCATAATTGTGAGAAATAAATATTTTTTAGTTAAACTTGTTTGGACTTATTGTATAAACCTATGTAATGTTATGTATTGAGTTTAATTCAGTGTTTGTAAGATTAATTTAACTATTTTTAAATTAATGTCTATATTTCGATGAAGCAATTAGGATTTTCTTGCCTGGGATCTTCGTATTGGTGACCTAATCAAAATGGCCGACTTGGATGTGGGGGAGTTGGATATCCGTCCTTGTCTTCCTGCAGACTTGATTAATGTTGGCGTGTTATTATTAGCCATTAGCCGCAGGTAGCAATTAGAGGCTAACGTCATGTTAATGATCATAAACAACGTAAATAGATACATAAATAAATCAGAGAAAGTGGGGGGGGGGGGGGGGGGGG